ATATATATATATATATGAGTCAGCTACCAGTATAATGAAAAAAATCATCAGGATTAGAAAGAAAATTCCATATTTCAATGTGAAAGCACGAAAGGAGTGAAATAAAAAAAAATCTGTGACTGGCAGCACTTGAAGAAGCTGCGGACAAAGAAAAAACCATGGAGTAGGGACTGAGGAGAGGTTTCCTTTTCCCTCTCCCAATAACCCACAAAACGTAATTTTTTGTTTGCTTTTTATTTTTCAGAATCATAGTTTCAGGTTGGTAACAGAATAACACCCCTGCTTGCCACACCCAGTCAGCACTCTGCTCCCTGCCTCAGCTGTGTTCTGAATAAAACTGGTAGTTTTGGATATCACCATGAACAATAATAATAATAATAATGATAAAATTGTACATGTTTATAACTCCAATTCACTTAATCCCACCAAGAGCAACCACAATATTTTTAAGAGTTAGCAAAAGAATTATTTTCCTTAAATGCATATATGTACACAGGATGAGAAAATTACTATAGACAGGGAAAACACTTTAAAATTAAGTATCACCAACAAATTCTGTATATTATATCAAAGTTCACAGCTAAAAGAATGGAAGTCTGATGAGGTAAAATTAGCACCAGCAAGAAAGCACTCAAAGTTACCCTACAATTGGAAGGCTGCAAGCTTTTTTGAAAATAATCTCACACTAATGCTAATCTTTGGCCCAGCAGAAAGAAAGATATTCTGAAAAAAACAAAACAAAACAAAACAAAAAACCAAGAGGAGCCTTCCATAGCTACATACTACCCATATTTTGAAATGGAGCATCACCCAGAATGGTTATTTGCTTTGAGTTCTGATCACTGGTATTCAGGCAGAACTCACCAGTTATTTCCTAACTATGCAGAAATGATGTTTCTTTCTAATATACTAAACTTCAAAGTCTACCAACAGAGAACATCAGTCTATTTTATTATCAAAGCAAAATTTGGTTTTATAAAATGGAGAAACTACTTCTTGCAAGATAGCCATAAAAAAAGCTGGTTGGTAGCTAAGGAAGGAGGGGGAATGGAAAATTTAAATAATAATAATAATAATAATAATAATAACAACAACAACAAAAGCCAGGATTTGCCAATTTCAGAGCTCTTCTAAAAAACTAGCTATGAAGACCAGAACAAACTACCAAAAGAAAAATTAAAATTTTCTTTTTGCATCTGGATAATTTATCTAATCCCCAACTCTTAATTCCTCAACATGGTTCTCTGGGCCTCAACACACAGGAATTAATATTTGTCATATTATTGGGTGACTAGCTGGGATATAAAGGGCCCTACTTCTGTCAAATGAGACAGGGCCAATTAACAAAGTTGTGGTCTTTTTGAGCTCTGAAAAAATAAAGCCCCATTATATATCATCAGGACAGCACACAAGTTTCATAACTTTTCATTATTCATTCTGCTTAAACCACTTTTCAAACCCAGAAAAGGAAATCACCTTCACCTCTCTCTTTTAGGCATAAACTTGTAGATATGCCTAACAAAGCTATTCCTATAGAACATAGAACTATTCCAAAAGTTAGTAAAGTTAATCTCACCCTCAAAACAAAACAAAGCAAAAACTGGTATTTGTAAATACCCACACCATTGGACAATAATAATCTAATAATCTAACAGTTTATTAGAAATCTCTAGAATGTTGAGTTTTTGTTTTTTGTTTTTTGTTTTTTTTTTTACTCAAAGTTGCCATATGATGCATGTGATACAGAAAAGGTGGGAAAGCTGATTTTAGCTTTAAACTTTTTGTCTTTTACCAAATTGTGCCCATACAAAGAAAAGAAAGAGAAAGTAAGAAAATGCTAGCTTTTTAACTTAAATTGGTTGTATTCTTATGAAGTTGATACATTTCAAGAAACAGACTGAAGGATTTTCTAAATCCTACAAATGAAAATTCTTTGTCAATACATAAAATAGAAATGCCAAATTCCCCCCACTAGAAAAGCCAGTACAGCATTTACAGACGAGAAAGATTATATAATTGTTTATTTTCTTTGAGTACCGATAATTTTCAGTTGTTGAAGTCACTAATTTAAGCGCGGCATTGTGACAGAGAAGTTTTTCCATTAGGATCTGGGATAAAACCACCCAGCTTACTGCAAACTTATTGAGGAGAAGTTTTTGCTATCTAGCTACTCCCTGAAAATTTCAGGTTATGCCTTCCAAAACACACATCCTGTAACAAATATATGGATTCATTCATTTCCTCCAGGTTAACCTAGTTATGGAATTGGGGGTGAGGGTGGACATGCAGAAACTGATGAAAGCTTCCAGTGACCAGGGTAAGCATCATAGTAGGTCAAGAAACACCTTAGTTACTACCCCTTCCCTTAGAAAAGTTAACTGTAGAAGAGAACTCCACTATTGACTATGGGGGGATAGAGAGAGGAAAACCCTTACCAAGTAAATCTGTTCTTATGAAAGGAAGACCCAAGGTATAATCACATAGCAAAAACAAAAACAAACAAACAAAGCCTTAGAAACAACTTAATAAACTGGAAAAGATTGTTGATATAAATGAACACTTTGAAATTTTTGAAAATCCTCTAAGCCAAACCTTAGAAACCCAGCAGAACACAGTCTGCCAATTAGCTGTTTCTTCAGTAAAATAACATTTTATAAAATCCTTCTCCCTCTTTCTTTTCCAACACTGTGTCATCAACCCTGCAACTATAGTGAAGCATCAGTGAAAAGCGGCAAATTGCTAGATTTAAGACATTTAAGATGCTAAGGTTAATACAAATTTTTGAAAAGTCACCGATACAATACAGAAACAAGGGATACAAAACAAGTTCATTAGGACATCAGTGTTCAGCAACCCTGAGGAATTAGTCCCTAGTTAACATTCCCTCCCTCACTAGGATAAAACAGCTTGCTGAGTGAAAACCATCAACAAGGTCTCCAGGAAGCTCAACAACTGCAGTAAGGAAGAATTTTTAATAAGCAAGATGAAATGATCACTTTTCTCATGTCCTAATTAAAACTCTTGGGCAAGATAATAGTCATAGGTCACTAACAATTCTATCTCAATTTATTAAAGTTAACAGCTCATGTTTTAAAATGCAAGTTTGCCCTTAAAATGAAATATATAGAAAACCCCTGTTCTTCCTTCCCCAGAACAGATTTCAAGGCACACTAGAACAGCAGGAAATCCTTTAATTTTTTGCCCAACATTTTCATAAGTCAGACTCAAGTTTGGTTAAATTGTTCATTAATATGACTTTTTTTTTTTCATATATCTGATGCAGAATTGAAGTAGGAAACTGTGACTGTTGTAATTCACAGAGCAAACAAATACTTCAGACGAGAAAACCAACTCAAGCAGCTACTTCCAACAGTTAACATGTGATTTAAATCCTTCTCAAAGTCTGCTAAGAAAGTTGTCCTTTTGCTTCCTCTACTGGTGCCTAGTTCTATTCTCTCTGCTGACTTTCACCGGTAGGGCAAGTCAGCAGTTGTTGCCAAGAAGGGGACTTCAACCTGTCTTTACATAGCAGCCCTCATAACACAGAGGCCACCTTCGTCCCCTGAAATGACACTCCATTTTATGTCTTTGGAGAAGGCAGGATGAGAAAGACATGGATTGGGTCTTTGCCTCTAACCTGCTAACACCAACCACAGTCTAGAAGGCAAAACATTAAGACTCTAAGAGGAGCAACTAGCCACATTTCTTATCGAGGTCCTCAGATTTGGGGGAGGACAGGAGAAAATTAATTGGGGGGTGGGGCTTAAGGGCTTTATTTCTAAAGATGGCCCCTGCAATTAGATTTAAGTTTGGACCCGGCAGCACGTGGAATACTGTGAAAAATGTAGGACTTTCAGAAGCTTGGGTAAGGGGTTATCAAGCAATAGGGAAGGGCATATACCAGTACCCAGGGCTAGCAGCAGTGGGTATTGGTTCAGAGGGAGGTTTTGGAGCACACAGATTCATCAGGCCAGGAGTCCAGGGAAGGCATGAGATTAAGGCTGCCCATTAAGACTGCCCTTGCTGTTGAACATTACTGAAGTCTCCTAAGGGCAGCACGTTGGGGAGGAGGAAGAGAATAAATAAGCCAGAACACACATTGACTCTAAAGGACATTGTTAGAAGGAGAAACTTACCGCATATCCCCATAAGGTCCAGAGTAGCTCTCCATCCACGGGCCCATCTCGCTTTTGACACAACTGGGGCTTGGATAGGGCACTCTGCTCACCATTCCACCAGGATACCACACATCAGGTGGGCTAAAGTCTCCTTCCTGACTTGACAGCCCCTGAGGTGGCCTAGTGTAACCAAAGGGGGCTACTGTCCCTGACTCCCCTGTGCTGCTCCCACAGGGCCCATAGAGCTGGCCTTCTTCAGCTGTGAAGAGGGTGTGCCAGGAGGAGGTGGCGGCAGCTGAGGGTGAGCCTGTGCCTGGTCCTGTAGCACCCCCAGCATGAAGGCTTCCTAGATCCCCATAGCGGCATTGTGCCGCTGCAGCTGCCCAGGCACTACCATAGTCCAAGGGGTTCTCTAGCTTGATTCGGGCATGAGGATGTCCAGGAGGTGGAGGAGGGGGAGGCGGCCCAGCCAGGGGTAGTGGAAAGTTGTAGTAGTCACGACTCTGATAAGCTGCTGCCTCGTCCAGTGCTCCAGACTTGTAGAGAGACAGGGTGGTGGGCAGTTCAAGTGTTCCAGAGCCCCCTGCTTCACCACTCCCAATGCAGCCAAGGCTTTCACCGCTGTCCAGTCCTTTGGCATAACTTGCCTTGAAAGGAGGATACTCAGCAGTCTCTTCCGTGCCCTTACCTGGGCCGTCATCCAGCAAAGAACCTTTGCATTCAGCTAGCGGGGCACAAGGAGCTGGACGCACAGCAGGTGGACCTCCCAGTAGCTGGGCATACATGCAATCTCCCCTAAGCTGTTCCCCAGGACTCAGATGTTCCAATGTCTCCACACCCAAGCCCATGGACACTGACACTGCCTTACACAACTCCTTGGCACTGTCTGAGATGGTTGAAGTGCCCCCTAGGTAACTGTCCTTGGAGGACATAGGAAGCCCAGCGGCCTCCCTGGCTCTCCCGCTGCCGCTACCTTCAGATACAGCCTCCTGCTGCTGCTGCTGTTGCTGCTGCTGCTGCTGTTGCTGCTGCTGCTGCTGCTGCTGTTGCTGCTGCTGCTGCTGCTGCTGCAGGAGTTGCATGGTGCTGGCCTCGCTCAAGATGTCTTTGAGATCAGCAGAGCAGCTGCTTAAGCCCGGGAAAGTGGGGCCCAGCAGGGACAAATTGGATGGGGCAGCTGAGTCATCCTCATCCGGAGGTGCTGGTGGCTGCGGCTGCAGCCCCTTGCTGGCAGCCACGGTGGCTCTGTGTTCAGGGATGCGGCTGCTCTCAGGGTGGCCCTCGGGAACTGAGCGCTGCTGTGAAGGCTGCCGGTCCTCATCCAAGGCCAGGTAGACCGTGGGCCCTCGGCTCTGGGTTTGGGAAGAACCATCCTCACCCTGCTGTTGCTGGCGGGGGCTGGTCTCCTGCCGCTGCTGCTGCTGCTGCTGCTGCTGCAAACGGACGCCGGGAGGTGCCACGCTGGAGGCCTCAGGGTGCCGGGGGCCTGGGTTCTGGATCACTTCGCGCACACTCTGGAACAGATTCTGGAATGCTCCCCTGTAGGTCTTGGAAGGCGGCCGGGGGTAGACCCTCCCCAGTCCTAACTGCACCTCCATCCTAGAGCTTGATTGAATCTGCCACCCAATCCCTTTACCTCGCGTCCCCTTCTCTTGCTGAAAAAGAGTTCAACAGGCTGTGAGGTGGTGTCGCTGCAGCTAGCAGCCCACCTGCAGGAAGCTCTGAGACAGAAACTTGAAGGAATAACCTCGGGAAAGCGCTCTGACAGTCTAAAAGTCTCGCGCAGAGGAAAACACGTGCTGCACAAGATCTGCTCTGCTAAGCTAGCAGTCTGTCCCTGAATACTTGGAGGATTAATTCAAAAGCAGCTCAAACCTTGAAGGAAATAAAACAAAAAGGAGACTCCTCCGTTTTCCAATTTCAGTGTCCACTGAAGCAGGTGCAAATAGGAACCGGGTTTTTTTTTTCTTTTTACTTTAGATTTCTTGTTTTGTTTCGGGTTGATTTGTTGTTGTCCTTGTTTGTTCGTCTTGGGTTTTCTTGTTTGTTAGCTTGCTTGCTTTTGATTTGGTTTTGGCTGCTGAAGCCTTGCCTTTTCACCCAGCGATCTCTTGCCCCACAAACTGGCTGAGGAGGTACATGCAGTGGGTGGTAGAGAGGGAGTGAGGGGAAACCTGGGGGCCGCCCCTCGTCCAGCCTAACCGGCCAGGTCTTGGCTGCAGTGCCGAAGCCGCTCCCTGGTCGACCTTCTCCCCAGAGCCGTCTTCCCAGAGCCGGCTTTGCAACGTGCAGCTAGCTCGCCAGCCCGCAGCCAAAGGGAGTTACCTCTCTGCAAACTCCAGGCTGGTGTTACAGGGCAGACTTGGGGGAGGGGGAGTGGGCGGGTAAAGAGGAGCAGTTGGAGGCAGCTGCAAGAGAGGAGACCCCAGAGGGAAACAGGGTTGGAGGAGGGACAAAAGCAGTCGTCAGTCCTACCAGGCACTTTCCTGGATTCCTCCGAGTCTCTAGCAGCTTTCAAAAACTTCACCCAGGAAGGGCAGCTCCGGGGCGGCGGCTTCGAAGCTGCTGAGCCGCGAGAGGCGGAGGCTCTTGCCAGAGCCTCGCTGGGGTTGACGCGATGAGTTCCTTAGGCTCTTGTCACGCACGGGAGCAGCTAGCTTGGTCGCCTTACCTCCGTCGCCTCCTCTGCCTCCAATGCCTCCACGCCGCCTCGGGACGCACAAGCTCTCCCAGCAAGCTGGCTCCTCGGGATCTCCGAGGGGGCGCTGGGAAGTGCGGAGCAAATGCAACAGTTTGCGAGTCGGGTCCCGCCCCCGCCGGGCCGGCCTGCACGACTTCCCACCTCCTCTCTCCCTCCCCTCCCCTGTCCTCTCCTCCCCCGTCTTCCCCACCCCTTCCCTTCCCTTTACTCTCCTCCCCTCACCGGGCGCTAACGCGTGGTGGTTTTGGAGAAGCTCATACTGGCACAGCGTGGGTGAGGTCTGGGAAGGATTGCTGTAGCCCCGGAGACTCCCAGCTCCCTGAATATCGCCGGCACCTCTAGACCAGGATTTAGGCGCCAGGGCCCACGTTTTAGCCCGGAGCTTTACTTTGGGTTCAAGGCTACCAGAACTCCTGCAAGCTAGCACTTACCAGATTTGGTTCCGAAGTCCAAATTCAAAACAGACACAGGTCGCACGGCGGGGGATGGGGGGATTGGGGGGGTGCGGAGGCGGGCTGCGTGGGGACTGCTGGAAGGAGGGAGAGGGAAGGGGAGATAAGATTATCTGCTTCTTCAGCTGTGAGGGACTCTGCTGTTGTGATGGCAGGATCTCCAACAAACTGAGAAATAATGTATGACCAATCAGCCTATACTTGTTGAAACCTCTCAGACAATCTCCTTGAGATGACTGGGTCTCTTGGTATGATGCCAAGTGTAGAAATCCTCTGCCTGGGAGCCAGAAGTTATATCTGTTTACCTTCTTCTTAACCTATTTCCTATCTAGAATAGCCTACAACTACATGTCCCTCACCTAGAAGAAATGCAAGGGCAAAATCACCCAGACAAGCAGACAAACACTATAAATACTTGTCGTGGTTTTTCAGAGGTTTTCTTCTGCATCGGCCCCTTGCGTTTCCAAGTTGCTTTTGCGTGCTTTAATCTTTCAAACTGCACTATTTAAGAATTGGAATTTACATAGGCTTGTTTTTCTTCTTGGTGTACAGTCAGGTGTGGAGGGTGGCAATCAGTACTGCAATTGTTCTTTTTTGTAGGAGGTTCCATGCCCTGTGTAAAGATGGAATAGAGGGACTGTATGCACAAATAAATAAATCTTAAAAAAAAAAAGATGGAATAGAGAGAATTGAAACATAGACCTATAGAAAAGTAGGAGCCCTGCCCTACCTTTCCCTCCCACACCCCCACCTAGCTTTTAAATTCCTTAGCTTTTTGAATCCCAGCAGGGTTTATCTCTCCCAAAAGGCTAGTGGAGATTTTCCTCTTGTGCCTCTTCTATTTTTTTTTTTAATTTTATTTTAACAGAACCTATAGAGTCTGTCTTGTTCACAGCAAAGGAACATGGACATTTACTTAACCTGATGCAAGGAAGTAAATTAATCTTAAAGGCAGGGAGGAGTGGGCGTGATCAACTCTAGTGTCCAGATGAAGACACTGAATCACGGGCATAGTCTAGTCTATGTTCCACATTTGTAGAACATAAGCTAGTCTTCATCTCATTGTTATTTTAGTCAGACTCATCAATGTCAAGGACACTTGGGAGAGGGCTATAAATGTAACTTTCCAGAACACAAAGGCCTGAGAAGCTTTTTACCCAAGGTGAAAAATTATCCTCTGGGATTTGAAGGCTTCAGCTCTGCCCAGATATATCTCAAATATATCCCCTTTGTTGGTGGGGAATTTCACTTCTTTTGGTAAAGAAGCAGCCTTATTCATAGAGATGTCAAATTATAAAAGGCTAATTCTAAATTCCCTATTTAATGGGAAACAGGAATATATAATTGAAATGCAAAGGTACGTAGACAACCTTATTTGAATCATCACAACCTCTAGTTCCACCAAATCTTTTAGCTAGGGTTGCTCAAAAGGAAATGAGTAGGCTGGGTTGGCAGGAAAGTAGAGTGGAAATAACATAAGTCTCAACCAGGATTAACAGTGAACCTCTTCCTCTCTTTCAGCTTTAGTTTTCTTGTCAGGAAAGTCTACTAGTGTGAATATAATGATCTCCCATCTCAAATCTTATTTTCCTCTCATTGCTTTTTAAGAACAAGTGATACTACAGAGGAATATTACATGAAATATTTGCTTGTTACCATCTTGACCCCCTTCTTTATCCTCTTTCCTCTTCCCTCTTCCTTATTCTCCCTCCTACCCCTTCCTCTTTTTCCTCTTTCCTCTTCCCTCTTTCTTATTCTCCCTCCTACCTCCTTCCTCTTTTTCCCTCTACAAATTTTTAAAGCTTTTATTTATTTATGCAGGGCCAGAGATACTGGAGGGGAAAATGAGAGGATTCACCAGAGACAGAGTGGGGAGCGAAAAGGCAAATCAACTGAAATACACTTGAGGGGAGCAGCAGGTGAGATAAGACAGGTCTGCCAATCCATATGTGGGTCAGCTCCCTGGCCAGGGATGGAACTCCTGCTGCAGTGGCTGTGGCTAGCTTCATAGTGCTGAGATTTATTTAACCCCTTGCACCACCAGGGAGGCCCTTCTCTACAATTTTTAAACAATCAAGTAAGCAACCAATGGTGTCTTCTCAAAACATTTGAGTCGTAGGTAAATTTTTGCCATGGGCTTCCTGTATAATTCCATGGGGATTTTGTTAGTGGAAAGCTGAGATAAGCTGACCTTTGAAAAATAGTGGAAATTCTTCAATTCTTGGTAGTTTTATTTCCTAAATATCTCACAAATCAGCCTCATTCTCTTTGTGAGCACTACCATATAGTTCAAGGCACTGTCCTTTAGCACATGGATCATTGTAAATGGACCCCCCTCTTTCTACTTTTACTTTCTTAAAGTCAGTTCTGGATTATTAATCAGAGCAATTTATTTAAAATTAAAATTTAATTTTTAGATCAGCTTAAGTTCCACAATAAAAGTTTTTATATAACCTCTTCTGCCACACATGCATAGCCTCTGCCATTGTCAGCATCTCCCACCAGAGTGCTGTGTTAACACTTGATCAACCTACACTTTGCCATAATCACCCATCGTTTACATTATGGTTCACTCTTGGTATTGTGCACTCTGTGGGTTTGAACAAATGTATAATCACATACTTCCACTTTATGGCATCCTACAGAGTATTGATTTTCATTGCCTAAAAATTCCTCTGTGCTCTGCATAATCACCTGTTGTGCCCTGGCAATCACTGGATCTTTCAGTATAAAGTTTTCTCTAGCATGTCATCTAGTGGGAATCATACAATATGCAGCCATCCAAATTGGCTTCTGTTACTTAGAAAATATTTGTTTCCTCCATGGCTTTTCATGACTTGATAGCTCTTTTCTTTGTAGCACTGAATAATATTCCACTGGTTGGATGTGCCACAATTTATTTTGTCTATCTCTTGAAGAACATTTCTTCCAAGTGTTGGCAATTATTAATTAAGCTGCTACAAATACCAAGTTCAAGTCTTTGTGTGAACATAAATTTTCAAGCCCTTTCTGTAAAAATCACAGACCAATTTGCTTGTTCATATAATAAAATTATGGTTAGTTTTATAAGAAACCACCAAAATGTTTTCCAAAGCAACTATACCATATTGTATTCCCACTAGCAATGAATGAGAGTTCCTACTGGTCCTCATTCTTATCAGTACGTGGGTATGTCAGTGTTGCAAATTTTAATTTTTAATGCTGACATATAACTGGCATATACATTAAATTAAATTGGCACCAGGTATTTAACATACTGGTTTGATATTTGTATATATTCCCAAGTGAACACCACAATTAAGTTCACTTAAGTTCACCCCAATGCATAATTACAATTTTTTTTTTTTTTGTAATGAAGGCTTTTAAGATTTACTCTATTAGTTTTTCATATGTTTATTTGCCAATATGCACATTTCTTTGGTGAGTTTGTTAGTCTTTGGCCCAC